GTAGATATAGCGAAGAATAAAAGGAACAATCAGTTGTTTACTGCTTACAGTTTGTCTGGCAAAGATGCCTTTCTGCCCCACAATTATTTTGTTTTGCAAGAGACTGAGTCTCACTATAGATTACACATAACTCGGCAACTGTATCAGCATTGAGACCTTCTTATCATTGGATGAAGCGTGAGGGTGAGCTTGCCTTGCCAAATCAGCAGAACCCCTGGACAAGAGATTGGAAAATTCAGATTTCTGACTCTTCTGGAAGAAAAAAAGTTTCAAAGGTGTCAGCTTGGGCAATCCATGTAGAACACCCCAGAAGGGTCAGCAAAGGAGTTCAGGAATTCATTTCTTGTAATGGCGCTCGCTGTGCAGATGCCTGGTGCAAGTGCTATCAATAATTATTGCATGAGGGTGGCTCTGAAAGTGATGCCTCCTATTTTATTATGTTGGCCCACAACGTTGGAGGCAGATGTTGATGGTATGGCAGTAGAGGTTGAACCTTCCCACCAATATTCCATTCATTACATTTTGTTGCGGCGTGACAGATGGCAGCAGAGGGGCAGTCTGACTAAATGGTGTCTGACATGGAAGTGCATATGAAGCAAAGTGATATTATTGAATTCTTGTGCAGAAAAAATGGCACCCACTGTCATTCATTGGGGCTTATTGAACATTTATGGAGCCCAAACAGTGGATGTGAGGACAGTGAGGCAGTGGATGGTACGTTTCGGCAGTGGTGACAGTGATGTGAAAGGCAAGCCATGTTCCATACATCCATGCACAGCTGTCATGTCATGAAATGAAGGCCGTCTCAATCAGCTGATCCACACAAATCAACAGATTACAAACAGGGAACTCTGTGCAGAGCTGAATATCGATTTCATTGCATTGGAAATCATGGTGGCAACATTGGAATATTACAAATTTTGTGCCAAGCGGGTAATATGAACCAATAAGAGGCTGAAGGTGACAGTTTCCAGGATCATATCACTAACAGTGACAGAAAGCAGTGTCACCACTGTGAGCCGGTCAGAACGGCAGTTCATGGAGAGCTGGCAAAATGGAAATTCCCCATCAAAGCAGAAATTCAAGATGCATTACATTAAATGGTACAATTAAATGTGCTGTCTTTTGGGATGGGAAAAGGGTGATCCTTCTGGATTTCCTGGAACTCATACAAGCCATCAACTCTGAACTATTACATTAGTACACTGACTAAGTTGAACGCTCAAATTTTCAGAGTCAGGCCAGGAAGGAAGATAGCTTTAACACCGTAACGCCAGGTGCCATACCAGTATGAAGATCACATTGTCAACCTTGGTTGGACTCTCCTACCGTGTCCACCATATAGTCCAGATTTGGCACCTTCTGACTTCCATCTGTTTGGACCAATGGAAGATGGACGGTATGGGCAACATTTTCCTAGCAACTACACTGTCATAGCAGCTGTGAAACAGAGGCTCACTTCCACTGGTGCAGATTTTCATGAGTGTAGCATGCAGGCCTTTATTTATTGCTGGCAAAAACGTGTAGCTCATGGCGGTACCTATGTTGAAAAGTAGTGTTTTGTACTGAGAATTTGCTCTATCATATAGAGTTCTTGTGCTCTTTGTTTCTGTTGCAGTTTCCATAAGTAAGTAAGTTTCCAGTTTCCATAAATAAGTAAGAGGCATTACTTTCATGGTGTTCTGTGTAGTTAAAGCTGTGGTGAAGTGACTCAGAAGGATACAAAAACATAATTCAATTTCACTTCGCATAAAAATCAGGCTCTGCTGGACCAATATAGTCTCTATATTGCATGATTACAAAAGGTGCAAATGTTACATTAGATCACTGAAACTTTAAAATGTGGTTATCAAATATTTCTCTAGACAGATATGACAGCAAGGAAGTAACCTTTACTGTCACAGCTTGTGGTTTTCTTGTCTGCCATGAAGTCACTTAATAGCAGATGAGTTGTCCGCTCTTCTCAGAATGTCAGCATAAGGAGATTCCAGCTGTCTGAGTTAAAAGAAGCAGCTGATGATGCAAAACAGTATAAGGAAATTCATACCACGGAAAAGGAGGACTGGAAATTTTGTTAATTTTGTTCTGATTTCAGACATGAAAACAAGCAAGCTTATAATGAAATTAGGACACGAGAATTTCAAAGCTGACACCAGTTTTTTGTTCATTTGTTTTTCAGTAATTAGGTCATAAAATTTACTCTCACAGGATGTTGCTGCAGCCAAGAATTTTACTCGATAGCACACAAAAAAAATATTATATGGTACATTGCAAATAAAACAATCTGGTTTCAAGTAACATTGATAAAACAGAAGACATATTGATCTGTCTACTTCAGATTGTATAGACAAAATCAAAATCATTTAGTACACAGGATCAGAAGATCTTATTACTGTATTTTTATAGTTTTCCCAGAAATGCTGGCGCTTAACATTCTTAGAGATGACATTCTGATATAGATTTATATCAGGTCAGATTCGGTGTGGCAGTTCCTGTTTTCTTATGTTAATTAACCTTTAGTAAAAACCAGTCTGTCTACTACTGCCTTTTATCTGATCTTTGAATTTCTTGCTCTGTACAATGTAAGTCCATTAAGGAAATTAGATAATTAGAGCTAGAGATGGCCACTGCTTGCTAAAATGATTATTGCTTTGGTGCAGTTGCTGGATTTGGTAAGTTGGTAATAGGGACAACATTTTATAGTAGACGTATTTCCAGAACCCACTTTTCAGCCAGAAATAGACAATATGGTAAGATTTTCTTTCTTGTCTTTCCTAATCTTATGTCTTCTTTAGTCCTTTCTTCTTCCTTCTCTTCTGTTCATTAATTCATTTCCTCCATTTAAGTTGTGTTTCTCCATGTGGGTATAGTGTCCTTGATGGTATTTTTGACATCTCTGCTGGGAAGGTTAAGTTATCTCTACGCATTTTGGCAAATTATATTTTCACTGTGTTCTTCATGAAATATTACACTGATTAAATTCTAAGAACAGCCACACTAAAGGGAAAGCACAGAGTGCTTTTGCTTGATACTTGCCCAGCTTCCAACTGCTAGTAGCTCAGAAACATTCAGAGCTAGGTTTAATTTCCACATACTTACATATTTATATGCAATACATTGTATTCATTATCCTTACAAAAAATTGTAATTAATTATCCTAATTGCTCTGAGAGCAATTGGCTTCAGCACACCTAAAGCTGAACCTTTTAGATAATTGTGACTGCATGACTATGATAAGAGCCCATCCTGCTTTCTTCTTGCCACCACGATGATCATTCTCATCCTTCTGTATATATTTTTACATGTGTTAATCATCTCTCTCTGTGCTGAATACACTCATATTTTGAATGTTACTGTCTGCTTAGCCATCTTTTTGCTTTTATCATGAAATACCAGTCCTGTAGCAAGCAGTATGAAAATTCCTGGGTAAGAATACAAAACTCTGTTGTAAAGATGTATGAATAAAAATACATTCCTTTTGTATGTTGTTTCTTTCAACATTTGAGGGTTTTAAGAAATGAAGACTAGAAAAGACTTATTTGTATACGTACAAATACAAGTTCTAAATTTATCCAGAATTTAAAATTTTGAGAAGCATTTGTATTCTGTTGGCTTACAAGAGAGGACAAAGCTGCTTTACAATTCAGTGCTAGCTTACTCACAATTCAGTTTTGAGACAATGCATTCTCAGGGAAGACCTTTAAAGATCAGACAGCTTTATTTGTTGTGATCTTGCATCGCAAATCATTATCTGGTTTTATTCTACCTTTTTGTACAAAGCAGCTGAGTGTTGGATCTCCCAGTGATCCACCTCCCACACCTCAGCAGACACCTTATCCAACTCTTCTATTATCTATACTAGGTAAAAAATTTCAGATGAAGAGATGAGCTGACTCACAGCACAAACAAAAATACTTATACCACAGACACACACACACACACACATACACAAAAGAGCAAATAGAAGAAATGTAATATCTTTAAAACTGCCCACTGCAGTTCTTGGTATGTGAAGAGGATTAGGAAAATATTCCTTCTGCTGCATATTTTAGAGGAGCTGAGCTTCTGTTGGTTTTTTGCCTCCCCTTCAGCTGATGCTTTTTCTCTGATCCCATCAGCACTGTTTTCCTGCTCGCTTGGCTCTGTGAGGTGGGCTGCTGACTGACTTGGTTGTTTCCCATTGGGCACCTCGTTGCATTTGGGCACGTGTTGGGCATGCGTTCCTGCTTTTTGAGGGTTTTCAGGGATCTCCTAAAGAGAACCCAGTGGAAGTCCACAAAGATGATGCGGGCCTGAAGGATCGCAGCTGGGTGAGGAAGGGTGGAAAGCCATGGAACAGTTCAGCCTGGGGAAGAAATGGTTGAGGGGAGATCTTACCACATTTCATGACTATCTAAAGGGCAGGTGTCCAGTGGCTGGGGCCAGGCTCTTTTTGGCGGTACCCACTGACAGATGAAGGGGGAATGGATGCAAACAGGAACATGAGAAGTTCCATGTGAACACAAGGAAAAGTTTCTTTTCTGAGGCTGACAGAGCACTGGAACAGGCTGCCCAGAGAGACTGTGGTCTGGTCTCCTTCTCTGGAGATACTCAAAACCTGCATGGATGCTTTCCTGTGTAACAAACTGTAGGGAACCTCTTTAGTCCGGGGTTTGACTATGCGATCCCCAGAGGTCCCTTCCGATCCCAGCGACTCTGCGGTTCAAAGCCCAGTGTCCCGAATGAACGTGGTGGGTGTGCTGCTTGCTGAGAACTGCCTCCAGTGAGCTGAGGCAGGGCCTCGGCCCGCGGGCCGCAAGGCTGCTGGTGACGAGAATCAGCTTTATTGCATGAAAAGATTAAAATCCGAGCCGGAGCTGCGACGCGAGACCACAGCGGACGCGCTGGGCGACCCGCAAAGGCCTTCGGCCCCGGACGGGAGGCCCGAGCGGTCTCCCTCTGAAACTACAACTCCCGTGATGCCCCGCGGCGCTCAGCCCGCACTGCCCGCTGGGGGCCGCGCCGTGCGCGGGGGCCGGCGCCAATGGCGGCAGGCGGAGGAGGCGGCTGACGGGAGCCGCTGCCCGTCGCGCCCATTCATCGCCGACGCCTTCCCCCGGCTTTCTCTCTTCCCCCGGCTCCGCCGGGCTGCCCTCCGCCTCCGCAGCCGCCATGGAGGCGCTGATCCCAGTGATCAACAAGCTGCAAGACGTCTTCAACACGGTGGGGGCCGACATCATCCAGCTGCCGCAGATCGTGGTGGTGGGCACTCAGGTGAGGCGGGGGAGGGACGGGACAGCGGGCGCGGCCGGGTCTCGCCGCCCCGGGCTGCGGTCGGGGCGTCCCCCGTTCCTCCTGGGCCGCCGACCCGCCGTCTCCGTTTCCAAGGGCACGGGGGGAGGAGGGCGGCCGGGACGCCCTCAGCTGTGCCCGCGGCCCCCCCGTTCCGCTGGGAGTGCCACTGCCGCCGCCCTCCTTCCTCGGGCTGCCCGGGAGCGGTTCTAACGGCCGCGGCTCTCTCCGGGGCTTCCCCCGGCCCTAAGGGCCGCCGGGCGCAGGGATGGAGAGCGGAGGGACGGGCGTCAGCCGTGCTGCGGGGTCGCTGAGCTGTTTTTCCGCCTTTGGGACCTCTTTGTCTCGGCTAATGGTTGGCAGTGAAAGCGGCTTGACTTGGCGTTACAGTCAAGGGACTTGACTGTGGCCGTGTGTCCCAGCCCTCTAAAGCTGTGAAGCTGAACGAGCAGCTCCAGAGCCTTCAGATGTGTCCGAATGGGACGCTGTTCCTCAGCAGAACTTCTGGCAACACAGCGTGCTGGAGGGGAGCGGTGGCAACTGTGGAGAAGTGAAAATGAAACATTAAGCACAACCAAAACTTGGCGTTAATACACCATCTTTTTATTTATTGAATGTATGCCATTACTCAACAATAGTAGGCTGATGTCAAGAGAATTGTGCTAGCTGCTCTGCAGCCAGATATCATTATGTGACTTTGAAGACACCAACTGCAAGCTTAAAGCTGAAGTATGGCAGAGCTTTCCTTAAAGCCAGTCATAGTGCAGGACTGGTTGTAAGGCAGTGAGCTCTTCCTTTGCTTAGCCAGCATCAGTCAGGTGGTTCAGAGTCTGTGTCAGCTGCCTTAGAAAAGAGGTCCAGAGCACTGGTACTGAGGAGGAGACTTTGCGCTGGTTGGTTATATCAGGTCCTTGGTTTCTGGAGAGCACAGGAGCCCATCACTTTACAGAAACTTCCAATCTAATTTACGTTAACAGTAATGTCAGTAAGTTGGTTTTGTTGTTGTCAGTGCTGTTTTTGTTTATTTTTCTATCAGAAAGGTGTGAGGCAGAGGTGTGGCATTTTTATATGTGGAATTCATGGGAGTATTCTTTTCTGCTTCATTCTGATGTGTTGAAGTCTCTTGTATCAACCTTATTCTAGTTAACTTTTCAAAAGTACATGGAGTATGTAAGAATATATTCACATATGAAGGCTACTTTGAAAGTAATGCTCCAATTGTATCTAGCGTCAGAGGTGGATGTAAGTAAGATGGCAGTAGAGGACGAACCTTCCCACCAATATTCCATTCATTACATTTTGTTGTGGTGTGACAGATGGCAGCAGAGGGGCAGTCTGACTAAATGGTGTCTGACATGGAAGTGCATATGAAGCAAAGTGATATTATTGAATTCTTGTGCGGAAAAAATGGCACCCACTGTCATTCATTGAGGCTTATTGAACATTTATGGAGCCCAAACAGTGGATGTGAGGACAGTGAGGCAGTGGATGGTACGTTTCAGCAGTGGTGACAGTGATGTGAAAGGCAAGCCATGTTCCATACATCCATGCACAGCTGTCATGTCATGAAATGAAGGCCGTCTCAATCAGCTGATCCGCACAAATCAACAGATTACAAGCAGGGAACTCTGTGCAGAGCTGAATATCGATTGGAATATGCATTGGAAATCATGGTGGCAACACTGGAATGTCACAAATTTTGTATCAGGTGGGTTCCGTGAGTTCTCCCACAGCAACAGAAAGAACAGCATATGCAAGTTTGTCAGGACCTTTTGAACCAGTATGAGGTGACAGTTTCTGTATTGAATCGTTACCACTGGTGGGACATGGTGTCAACACTGAGAACCAGAGTTAAAATGGCAGACCATGGAGTGGTGACATGAACTTTTTCAATGGGAATTTAACAGGACACAGCCCTTAGCGGGTAAGGTGATGCACGTTGTCTTTTAGGATGGGAAAAGGATAATCCTTCTGGATCTCCTGAAACCCGGACAGACCTTCAACTCTGACTACTTCATCGCAACACTGACTAAGCTGAAGCTTCAAACTTGCAGTCAGGCCAGGAAAGAAAACAATTTTTCTCTTGCAACACCACAACACCCAGCCTCATACCAGTTGGAAGATCGTGGAGCTCGTTGCCATTCTATCCCTAACTTTCCTACAATGCTCGCAGTATAGTCTGGATATGGCTTCTTCTGACTTCCATCTGTTTAGGCCAGTGGAAGATGGACGGTATGGGCAACATTTTCCTAGCAACTACACTGTCATAGCAGCTGTGAAACAGAGGCTCACTTCCACTGGTGCAGATTTTCATGAGTGTAGCATGCAGGCTTTTATTTATTGCTGGCAAAAACGTGTAGCTCATGGTGGTACCTATGTTGAAAAGTAGTGTTTTGTACTGAGAATTTGCTCTATCATATAGTGTTCTTGTGCTCTTTGTTTCTGTTGTAGTTTCCAAGGAAACAAATGGGAGGTATTATTTTCATAGAGACCTATGTATATTTCACTTGAGTGGCCTACCCTTCAGTATTAATACCCCTTTGGTGTCCAGAATGGTAAAGTATACTGATACTGTATCTTTTAGGAAACCAGCTTGAATGCTTTTATATACCTCAGGAGAACATGTAGCAAAATGTATGGGAAATCGTATCCTAATTTTGTTCTTTTGTTTTAGTCAGGGTTCCTGGAAAATGTAATTGTCTTCATGGACGCAGGGATTCTGTAGTTATTTTATGCAATTATTTTATAGTTAAGATTGTATTGTTTTAGTCATTTCAGTCTAGTTTATGGCAGACCAGATTTCTGGAGATGTCTCACATATGTCCTTAGATCTGACAGTTTTGCTGCAGGGAGTTGGCTTCCATGTGTTTTTGAAACCTGCCTTTTAACAATGTTCCTTATGATATTTTTGGCTAAGTGCTGTATGACTCAAAGCTTTTTCCATAGTTGATTTCTTTGTGGCCTCAGGCATATGCAGTCTCTACTTTTTCTCCTTTTTGTAACACTCACAAACAGTTTTGAATTTCACTCCTCCGTTTTCCTTTGTGGAAGCAAGTGCAGTTGGTTAAGGTTTCTATTGCTCTCTGATTTCTCCTGCTGTTTTTCCTTGTTTCCCTGTTGCTTTTCCTGAATGACATCTCTACATATTCAGCAAAGAAAAGTAAAATGTAGATTTTTGTTGTTCCTTATTCTTAGCTATGTTCTGTACCTCTTTACTATACTTCTGTTGTGTTTTGTGCTTACGTCTGCCTTCAGTTCTCATCAAAGTACCCCACTTTAATTCTTTGTTTTCTAGCTGTTGTAGAGTTAGTAACTATGTATAATCCTTCCTTTCTTTGAGAAGGTTTTTCCTATATCAACTTGCCTGTAGGATTCATTTTGTACTGTCCCTCTGTTTTGAATGAATGACGTATCCTAGTTTTTCCTTTTTCTGGATAGGTTTGGATGCTGATTACAAAGCGTTCCCCCACAAATGTTAGACATTTGAAGACCTCTCGCCCTTTTTTGAGTGGTGTTCCTATGACTCGGTCACCTGAGAATTCCATCTTGTTTTCCACACAAAAACTGTAAGAGTCATCTCTGTGCCCTGGTATGGAATCTGTTAAGAAAACTGTGGACTGCTGCTGATAGGATTTGCAGGGCATCCTTACACTGCCAACTTTTTATTGCTATTTTAGGGTTTTGCTGTCCTTCCCAGATACGTGTGCTATTTTTCCTGATTGAGTATTTCAGTTGCCACCTTACAGCTGTGTTGTTGAAATGCAAAACGGTGTGCAGGCTGGGAATAGTATGCAAATGGTATTGTGACCTTATGATGTGCTTTATGCCAGTGCTTTGCTTTATGATCCGTGTAAGGGTTAAGGAGGTTGTGTTGAGGTGTGAACACATAAATACTAAAGTTAAAATGAGATGCAGGGAAGAACAACTGAGTATGGCCTTTTATGTGTTAAGGACGTGTAGGTATTATAATAGAAATACCTACATTACAGAAGAGAGTATGACTTTCAGAATAAACATCAACAGAATCTGTGTCTTGAGATGTGTAGAAGTGAATTCCCTTTTTCTTTTTCTTTCTTTTTTTTTTTTTTTTTCCAGATCTTTAATTCTTGGCATCTCTTTTGGGTTTCTAGAAGTCATTGACCTAGATACGTACTAACATTAGTGCTAGATCTGTGACAAAGGATTCTCCTAATACCAGTGTTATTTTAGAAAGGAAAAAGTTGTGCTTTGCAGTGCTTTGATCATAATAGAGACTTCATGATGAAATTGCTTGAGTAACCAGCTGCAATTCATGAAGGGATTTTGAAAAGACCTTTCAAGTGGACATTTATGTGTAACTGAAGACTGCGTGACAGTAAATGCTATTTTGGGACTTACAGTGTTGAAGTATATCTTACAGCACTTACTGTAGTTTGGTCTGTTGGTTGCTGCCATCCAAAGGAGCTGTTTCTTAAGGCTCTGTGATTGCCTCATAGATGAGCATGACATTTTTATTTTGCACAGTTTCAATGTTTTTCATTTTTATTTTTGCATTTTATTTGATGCTGCACAGAGCTTCAGTGCCCTTCCCTGCAGAGGGAACTTGGGCACTTGGTTCATCCAACAGCACATCCTAATCCATGGTTGGCAAAAAGACAGTTCTAAGTGAAGGAAACTCGAGGTTGTGCCAAGCAACTGGGAAGCTCTGTGCAAGCCCATGTCAGGATTGGGCATCCTCCCTATTCATTTTTTTGGACAAGCAATATTTCTTGGGTTTTCAGTGCAGTTGTCTTTAGATCCCTTTTACCTTTGTGATGGGGTGGATGGATCTGCACCGTAACTTTAGTGCTGTCTCTACTGCCTGGGGAGAACTTGTTTTTGCTCCTGGGTTTTGCAAGCTTTCTGTGTTATTTAATTTAATTTTTGAGTGTCTTTGTGTTTCGATGTAATTCCCTGTATCTAGTTACAGACATAACTGTTTTCCCCTTTGCCATCCCTTCCTT